TAGATAGATAGATAGATAGATAGATAGATAGATAGATAGATAGATAGATAGATAGATAGATAAAAAAAATACCCACCTCACTTACCTGACAGTGGAACTTCTCACCCAGATGCAAGGCACATAGATGCACCCCAGAGAGCATCAGTTGTCCTATCCTGTTCAGAAGAATGAGGTTTAAGGGAATCCCGAAGAGGGCAAAGAAGATGCAGAACACTTGTGAAACTACCGTACTGGGGCTCAAGTTGCCATAGCCTGAAAGGGGAAGAACAAGATTGATCATTGGTATAACAGGAATTATCATGATAATGTAGCTGTAATCTATGTCAACGATATCTGGCAAGAGTATTATCTGCAGGCTTTGCAGAAAGACTTTGCAGAATTTCAGCTTAATAAGATTCTCTTCCGTCATGTTAGAGATAAGGGTGAAAATTGGAAGCCAAATGCAGAGTAAAAGCCAAGATATCAGAAGATTCTCAGACATCAAAAAAGAGCAGATATATGGGAGAAATATTCTAATGCTAGAATTACAGAAATGAGAGGAAAAAATGATTTACATGTCAAGTTAACAATTTTGAATTTCAATGCAAGTACTGCATTTCTACCAGAGTTACAGAAAGTAACTCTATTTAAACAAATACAGCTAGTAGCATTAATGAGGGCTAAATACTAAGCAACATACTGTATATTTACAGTTACTCATAGAATTTGTGGCTCTGAAGTTTTCCTTACAACCAGACCCCAGTGTGAGAGAGGAACACATAGGCAAGTTTCACTGAGACTTATCCACATGATCCTAAACCATAATTTAGTGTTAAATGGAAACAGAACTTCTATCAGTATAACTTTCATTCAAATCAGTTCCCACTGAGTTTCTATTCTAGTCCTCTTCAACCTGGTTTCCTACAGTTATGTTGAACAGTAAATCTCATCATCCCATTTAGCTGGAAATGATAGGCATGGTAGTCCAACAAAGTTGAATTTTGTTAAGTTGGGGAAAACTACTCCAGCTTTTTCCATGCAAAAATATGCACGGAAATGGCCTAGCTTTACCTATATCAACACCTCTGCCAAGCTCTATTACCATTTAGCAGATAAAGGTTATTTTCCACTTGCTTACCATCTTAGCTAAGCATCTGATGAGAGCCACTTGATTGTTCACAAGAAACAAGATGAATGTAATGACAGAACATGTTAGGTAGATGCCAGCAGCCAAGATTCTAGATTACTGAAGGACCTTAACATTACGCTCACAAGATTATGATGCAAAAAAATCTTTGGTAGTATCTCTACTTTAGAAACC